CCTATGGCTTTGATAAAATATATCCTGAACCTTTGAGCAGACTTTAAAGAAACTCCATTCAACACAGCTGCTACAACTAATCAAACCAAGCAAATACAAAAAATGGCTATACTTTTAACATTTTTTTTTACATTTGGCTGGTGTGGTAGTAGATCAAAGTCTACAAAACATAGTCAAAGTGGTATAAATCTGGTGCAATCTCACAATATTTCAGAAGATTGTTCATTTATAGGATTTGCCAAAACCGTTACAACTCTGTCCCTTCTCATCACAAGATGATCTTAGTTTCAAAGTCTGGCATAAAAGGTGGCAGCCAGGCTATATACATTTCTTCACGCTAGGCCTCTAATGTGCCAAATTAGTTTTTGTCTGCAATAAAAGCCAGAAATGTCTTTATCTAGAGCAAGTTGGAGGTTCAGGCTTTGGCAGCTTATCTGAGACTATAAGAGAGGGGGATATGGGGGGATAAAGATGCAGAGGATGAAGAAAAGTGGTCTGATGAAGGTCATGAACTTAAAGAGAGTAGGTGATCTGTGGAGAATGAAGGGAAGGATTAGAGGAGAGAGTCTGAACAAGGCATTTGGAGAGGGGCAGAATGAAGCAGGAGGAAGGGTGACAGAAAGGGGGGAAATACCAAAGCTTTCTTCAAAGGTCAGGGGCACTTTGTTCCTGATGACCACCCTTTCCCTTTTTGTCTTCTCTTCAGTGTAAGGCTAAATATAAAGCAGGGCAATCTATTAATTTATCAAAGAAGAAAAAACAGCCCCAAAACGCACAGTCAAAGTTTGATTTATTGTGTGAATGCTTATAAGGCATGTACACCATTGAGATCCATTTTTCTTACGTGAATTTTTCGGCATAAAACTCATTTCACAATTTTTGTGCTATTTTAACATCTACATCAAAACATTCACCTCCTTCAGGACATTTTGGCTATGAGTTTTGGTATTTCAGCAACTTTTTTCTTTTTGAGATATTTAGCTTTTTTTGGCCATGTTTATATTATTGGAAATAGAGCTGTCTTCAACATCCTTAAAACTTTTCACATTTTCATAAACCTTTTTACCTTTTGGTTCTTTGGCTTCTATTTTGCTTATTAAGCTATCATTTTTATCTTTTCTGCTATTCTCCTAATTTAAGCTTTTTTCTGTGTTTTTAGCTACTTTTTAGTTAATTTGAGCTTTTCTAGCAAATATCCAATTTTTGTGATAATTTTGGCTTCTTACTTCTTAATTCAGCAAATGTGATCTTTCTGTTTCTTTGTGCAAATTTCAGCTATTTCAGCTGTTTTTTAAAAAAAATCCATTTTAAGGCTATTTTCAGCTATTCAGAACAAATCTTTCAGAATTAAGCATTCACGGCACGCTGCATTTTCTCAATAAAGCTGAGACAAGAAGCTGTAGTTGATAAATAAGCCCAGATTACAACTCTTAAATTAAAATTAGTTTRCAACAAACTCAGGAGTTCGGTTTGTTGTGTTTTCAACAGCAGTGAAGGTTGGTCAAACAAAGTCAGCTCTGTCACAGAGCACCTTCGATTTATTGCTTCAGGCAGCACCTCCCTCCTGCAGCCTGTCCTGTCTTTTCTGAACTGCAGACTAAGGACAAAACACAATTTCGACTTCCTTCTACAAGTTTCGCCTTTTTACTTTCGTCATGGTGTGTCTGCTTTCCATTTCACCCAGTCTGCCCTAACTAATCTTGAAGTCAGCTTTTAGAGTGATAATATCTGTTAACAAGACACCATCCCACCAAAGATGSCGCGTCGCCAGAGCAGATTGACAGATCGATAGTTCAAACTGAAAATCGATGGAACCCATCTCTTCATTAAGTAGTAGCTGACACTTGTGGCTGTTAGAGTGGAGCCTGCCTGACCTTTTCCCCTTGAATGGGTGGATAAGTGGAACTAGGAGATGTTCTACAACCTAAATGAGAACCAGTCAGAATCTTTAGCCCAAACTGTGACAGTCATGAAGGGATGGGTACATACTTCTGGTGAATTGTTTATTTTAAGGAAGCTATTTGAGTTATTTTTATTTTAAATTTTATATTTGGCCTTATTCTTGAGATTGAGAATAATTCTAGCGAAAAGAGAAACAAATTTGACATGATATAGATATAAGAGGAGATAAAAATGTGACAAAATCAAACTAATAAAAAATGCTTACAATACCTGCTTGTTTTTTCTCTTCTGTATGTTATGTAAAATTAATTGGGATGTAAAGACTTTTAAAGTACCATCTGCATGAACTGAAAGGAAAGGTTTTAGATTTAAGGTAGCTATTTACAAGAGGTGCAGTGTTAATTGTTTAAAACCTATCCACAAAACCTACTTAAAAGATCCAAGTATTGCTTTAAGTTACTGACTATTTTGCAAATTCTTTGACAAAAAATAATACATCCTTGGGAAAGTTTGGTTGCCATTACTCTTTTTGATAAGAGACTTGTTTATCTTAATGTTTCTGTGTCAACAGTCTTCCGTGAATGTGTGCAGTTGTTGAGTTAAAGTGGAGAAAACACATTTAAACTCAAGATAATGACAATGAAATATATAATTTAGAGAATGGAACATGATTTTTCTATCGCCTATATATTAGTGTCTAACTATTCTCTCATTTGTTTGCTTCGTATTTCATTAAAAGAAAAGAAGAGGTCTATGGGATGAAACCCCAATTCCTCTCTTGATCTGTCCCATGATTTTCTCACCTCCATTTTCTACCTACTTTTCAGAAAAATAATTCATCCCTCAACTGGATTGTATTGAGGCATAAACAAATTAGTGAAAATAATTCTTATTCCCTCATAATCTCATTATTAATTCTGTGCACAATAAATTGAATTAGTTTCCCTATAATTGAGTAAGTTTGGTGTGAAATGTGTCTTCTCGAACTGTACAAACTTTGAAACTTGTTTAATTACTGAATGCAGGAAAATTTACACAATCTACCGAGTGGAGCAGAGAACACATTTCACTGGCGTTAACACATTTCACAAATTAAATGCAGACATTTGTGGATGAATTTCTGCAGAGTTACAAAAAAAGCATTCAGGTAAAAGTGTTGATTGCGTAAAGAAATTGTTTTTTTTTAATGAAGGTTGGTCATCTTGGCCAAGATGACCAATCTTCACTTGGACATCCACAGAGCTGCTAATCAGCTAATGGTCTCCTGCTGTACAGTTTGTGTCTCAGTGCTTTTGGACACGGTGTACTAAACAACGACCAGTTTTCACATCTTTAATCCCAACATGTCAAAGACTGGAACTCCTGCCTGCACATGTCTGCACTCTGTCAGCAGAGACGGAAACGGCAAGTGTGAGTTAGCAATTAATTAAAAATGTGGCGAGTCGTTTCAGCTTTGTCGTTTCTMCCTCAGAGGTGTTACTTTGCTGTTGTTATTCTCCTTCTCTTCCTGATCTTCTTTTCTCTATCCTCTTTCTTCTGTGTGCCCTTTTAGTTATTCAATCCAGTCTGATCAACCAATTTTAGAGCAGTTCATCTCTTCCTCAGGTCACACAATTATGTTTTTGCCACCACTTGACTTTGTTTAAATCGTTTTCTCACCTCCTTCTTGCAACCCCCTCTTAAATCTCTGAGCTCTTGATGTGACCCATATCTGGCAACAGCGAGCAGGTCAAAGAGTCAGCGCTTCAAAGCATGAGTGATCGCTCTGTTGCTGCTAACTGATGTTGATAATCCAAATTATAGCCTCCTATATGTCATGAGGTTTTAATGTGTGTGTCTGTAGGTCACACAGCAACTACCACACTCCACACAAGTTGCTCCCATGAAACATTCATGATTCAGCCGGAGCGGAACAAGCTGTGTCATAATGACTGAACAAGTCGCTGCTGCAAAGTATTAGCTCACTACGCTCAACTCTCAACTCGGTTCTRGCCTCTTAGGTTCTGACTTTGCTTTGTGATTAAACAAACCGCTTTAGATGCTGTCGGTAAAAGCAGCTCAGCAGCAGAGTGAAGAAAACAGCGGAGCAAACTGCTTCTGCAATCCAGGGGAAATAATTAGGTGAGATTTGATCAGAAGGAAGGACTTTTTTTTTTTTGCTTTCACAAGACAAGCAAATCTCAAGAGCAGCTGCAGTGTTGGCACACAAAAACGCTTCACTTTGCATTGCAGATTTGTTTCGAACCCAGAACAGCTTACGTTGTTGATAGCGCCTCACTTCTAATCTTTATCAGGGGAAAGCAATCAGATCTTAAGGCGAATTAGTCGTTTTAGGGATTAAGAGACAGTAAGAGTCATTGCACTAACACACAAAAAGAACGGGAGTTGAATAAATCTGCTTTTAGCTTTGTATCTGATGGCCCAGAAGGCTTTCAACGTCTGAAGCCACATGTCTGATCAGGCATCAGGAGATTTCCTTGTTCGTTTGACCTCRAGATTTTCTGTCTGTCTTTGTGTGTCTCACACAGCTTTGCCTCCCTGCGTGAGACCAGGTCAGTGCTCATAGATCACGCAGTGAGGCAGAGGCAGTAAACGTGTCTGACAGTGACTGTGATGGACTAATCACTCAGTTCTAAAGACACTGCTGTTATTGGATCAGGTCAACGAACAAAAAGCCACGTAACACACATGTCCTGGAGGTCAAACCGGAAATATTACTCACAGAACTTTTCATGCATCTGCACACATCAACACTGCGTAAGAGAGTGTTCGGTGTAATAATGCTCTGCACATTTAATTGTTGCTTTTCTTATATATTAGAGGGGGATTTAAAAAAAATGGGTGAAAAACTCCAGACAGGCGCAAGCAGAGACAAATACATACAAAGTGTAGATGCATGCGTGACAGACAGCCACAAGGTCAGAATGACAAATCAACAGTGTGTGTATAAGACACTCAGGAGCAGCAGAGCAACAAGACACAGTGTTGAAAACAAGTGCAAGACAAATCAAAATGCAAAGCGTAACTCTTGCAAAGCAATGATGCAAGATCCAACACATGCGTGCAGACTGACTGGAAATGAGCCATGCATCTCCTACCCGGCAGGCCAAGACAGAGCAGAACACTGTAGTAGATGACAGTCAGTGGTCCGAGGGGGCATCCCCGAGCAACCTCGGAGGGATCCTGCCTCGGGCTCCAGGTGCTCCCATTAGGTGGAAAAACTGGGAAGATATGGCTGGGCTCCATGGGCTGTCTTCCTTGTCCTCTTCCTCAGCTGAGCTCAGTGTCAAGAAGTCTGGCCAGGCGAATCAAACCATAGCCGGTTTGGAAGAGAGGGGGGTCTGTCCTTGGGTGCCAATCAACATGAGCATGTGTGCACACTCAAAGACAAGCAAAGCCTGAGTGTGTGAGGGACGGAGGGGAAAATAGGAAGAGATGGAGGAGGGAGAGACGACACACAAGGAGAGGCGAGAAACGATGTGTGCGAGCAGGTGATGGAGAGGACGGCGGCGAGAAGATGGGAGAGAGGGCGGCATGAGGAGGTGAGTGTGAAGGTAGGAGAGGTGAGGGGAGGATGCTGCATGAGTGTGCGGGCTGGCGGGGGAGAGCGAGTTGAGAGGAGTGCGGGAGGAGGGGGAGGAGGAAAGGGGAGGAGAGAGGGAGGAAAAGAGGAGGGACGGAGCGGAGGCTGCAGGTGGGAGGATGAGGAGGTGTTTGAGGAGCGAGACACAAATAGGGAGATAATCAAACTGAATTGAGGAGACAGATGTGATGGATGAGTAAAGATAAAAGGAGGGTGAAGTTGACTGTGGAAAAGGACATGGTGCATGTTTGTTTTCTGTCAGTGTCTCTCTTGTCATGAGTCTCTTCGCAACTTGACTGATTGCACATTCAGTTACCTGACAAGTGCTTTTGATCGCACGATAGTCTGTTTAAACACATGCACACATGTATCTTTGCATGAACATGACTGTATGTGTGTGCAAACACATGTGTGACAGGCAGATGCAGGTTAGGAAATGGTTGCTTGGTCTATTTTGCCATGCAGTGTGAAGAGGCTGAATATCCAAGTCAGACATGATAATAAAGCCGGGGTGGGGGGTAAGGGGTGGGGGGGTGTCATCATTTTGATGCCACGTTAAAGACTTAGATATTTTAGTCAAGATAGTCTGCAAAGTGACATCAGGCAGATTCTATAAACACCTATAGCTTTAAATAATGTTATTTATCAGGAATCTTTCAGGAAATACACACGCACGCACGCACGCACGCACGTACGCGCGCACACACACACAAATCAAAGGGTGGGGGGACATTAGGATTGTTTCCTCATTTGCTTAGCAGGGCTCCAAGTGTTTTCTTAAAATCAGGATAGTTTACTGACTTAATCAAGCAAACATTGTTACATTAATTACATTTTAAWCTGACAAATGAGAAAGATGTTTTCCTTTCACGATGTGACTAAAGTATTCACAGAGAATATTGGAAACTAACCAAAGAAATAAAGCTGCATTAAATTAAACATAATCTAATTAAAAGCAGGCAGTTCACATTTTATGATTTTTTCCTTTTATGAGAAAACTATTTTAGATGAGTGTTTGATGCTTTATTATCGTTATGCACAGAGACTGACTGAATATTTTATAACTGCATCAATAAGGTTAATGTGTTTTTTTGTGTCAAAGTCARGACTGTGTTGGTCAAAAACAGGTGTGCTCTATGTCCTTACTGTCACAGTAAAATGCCACAATTACAGCAATCTGTGTTGCTGGTTGCAGTCTGTCTTTTAGGTAAATAATTTGGATTTGGGTCAAACCGCCTCAGTCTCAATTGTTATTCTATTGCTGTAGATGGTTGCAGAAAAATAAATTACTCTTCTTTTTCTTTCTCTGTCTCTTTTTTAGGTTTTTAGGTCAGCCTCATCCATTATAACGTGCAGGCTTGTGAGAAACATTTTTTTGTTGCTCCTTATAATGATGTATTTGCAAAGAATCTTCTGAACTGGTCAGTAGGAATGAAAACTTTAATGAGCAATGTTGATTTTAGGAAAAATGTCCTGTTAGTTGTAAATTTGTGAGGGAGAAATGGTACTTCCATATTCATTTCCCTAAAAAACTAATTTTAGGGAAGCTGCATGCAACCTAGAATGCATTTATTCAGAAGAAAATAGAAGAGTAAAATCAATAAAAAAAAAGAAATACAGCCTCTTATAAGCTGTTTAGTCTACACTTAACAGGTTTACTGGACAGAAAACCTTATTTTACGACTGTCCTTAATAAAATGCTTGGGAGGACATTTCCCAATATAAATCTGGTCAGACATTTTCCTACTATTCAGACGGCTTGTTCAGACTAATAAAAATGAGCTAAAAGTCATCTGTTAACTTACTGTTGCCAAGGAGAACAGAAGGTGTTCCACACTTCAGAATGATATAATAAGCAGCAAAAACACTAATTATCACCTGATGCTGAAAAGAGAAGTACACACAATGATACATTTGTCTGTATGTGTGTGTGTGTGTGACAGAGAGAGAGAGTTCATTTGTCTGTTATGTCAGCAAATTATGAAACTCTGGAAGGATTTTAATGAAACTTTCTGATTGTCATTCATTGAACATCGACACCCGAATAACTTTTGGAGTCATACTGATTTAAAATGGCTGTCACAACTTTATGTCTGGTCAACACAAAAATGGCTATAACTCTGTTTTCCAAATATTGAGCTAAAGACTTGTGAGGTAGCTGAGAGTCAGTCCCAACACGTACTCTGAGTGCTCACCGATCAAGCCAAATCTGGTGTGAAATAGTGCAGAGTTTTTCAAAGTGGGGACCACCAGGGGGTGCTAGGGGGCCCCAGAAAGCTGGAGGGAATACGAGGGACATCCATCCATCCATCCATTTTCTTCTGCCTATCCGGGGTCGGGTCGCGGGGGCAGCAGCTTCAGAAGGGAGGCCCAGACCTCCCTCTCCCCAGCCACTTCTTCCAGCTCCTCCGGGGGAACTCCAAGGCGTTCCCAGGCCAGCCGAGAGACATAGTCCCTCCAGCGTGTCCTGGGTCTTCCTCGGGGCCTCCTCCCGGTGGGACGTGCCRGGAATACCTCACCAGGGAGGCGTCCAGGAGGCATCCTTACCAGATGCCCGAGCCACCTCAACTGGCTCCTCTCGACGTGGAGGAGCAGCGGCTCTACTCTGAGTCCCTCCCGGATGACCGAGCTTCTCACCCTATCTCTAAGGGAGAGCCCAGCCACCCTGCGGAGGAAACCCATTTCGGCCGCTTGTATCCGGGACCTCGTTCTTTCGGTCATGACCCAAAGCTCATGACCATAGATGAGGGTAGGAACGTAGATCGACCGGTAAATCGAGAGCTTCGCTTTCTGACTCAGCTCTCTCTTCACCACGACGGACCGGTACAGCGCCCGCTTTACAGCAGACSCTGRGCCAATCCGCCTGTCGATCTCCCGCTCCGTTCTTCCCCCATTCGTGAACAAGATCCCCAGATACTTAAACTCCTCCACTTGAGACAGGGCGACCCCCCTGACCCGGAGAAGGCACTCTGCCCTTTTCCGGCTCAAGACCATGGCCTCGGATTTGGAGGCACTGAGCCTCATCCCGGCCGCTTCGCACTCGGCCGCGAACCGCTCCAGCGAGAGCTGCAGATCTCGTTCCGATGAAGCCAACAGGACCACATCATCCGCAAAAAGCAGAGATGCGATCCTAAGGCCACCAAAACGGATTCCCTCAACACCTCGGCTGCACCTAGAAATTCTGTCCATGAAAGTAATGAACAGAATCGGTGACACGAGGGACAAAAAAGCAAAAATTAAAAAAAATTATTAAAGGCACAGTGTGTAGGATTTTGTCAATTCTTTTAGCCYAAATTGAGATAATCACTAATGACAATAATAAAAAACATGTCTAATCATTGCAGACAAAGACTTTGTTTATTATTTTTACCTTATAAAAAGCTGTTTATATCTCCATGGTCGCGGGTCGCCACTACAGGCAGCCGCCATCTTGCACCGCCATCTTGTCTACGAAGGCTCATGAAGAACAAACTGCGGTGGCGGCGTCAAAAACGGTTTTAGTTGTAATACTATAAATGTAATATTTGTTGTCTGTCATTAGCTACGTTTACATGGACAAAAGTAATCGGATTAAACAGTCATACAGAATAAAAATGCGTCATGTAAACAACCCGTTCCGATTATTCAGATCCGATTGAGCTCGATCCAAATGAATTTTTAATCCAAATGAAAAYGGTGGGTTATGCCGATTGATAATCGGAATGAGGTTCATGTAAACACTTAATCGTATCATCTTATTCTGATTGTAGAAAACTGACCTGTGTGCGCATGTCTGCTGARTTTCATTCACCCGGTGGGACAGCAGCGCTCCAGCTGCGCTGCACCGTGAAGAACTTTTCCTCCTCGCTCTCTTAACAGATGAAAAAGGAGGCAAACAGCAGACGTTGCTTCGCAAAAAATTAAAATTAAAAGCATGTATTGCTTCATCTGCAGGCTGCAGCTCAACCGAGGCGTAACGACGTCTCTACCGTTATTAAAAGCTGACACGGGTCCGTCCTGAGCGCACAGAGGAGCTTTGTTTACGTTTGTAACACGGAAGTAGAGCTGAACGTTTACAACACTGCGCATGTCCGGACTTTTATTCTGAATAAAACTCCGGTGCATGTAAACACTTTTCATGATAGGATTGTGTCCATGTAAACAGTACATTCGGATTATTTAATCTGAATACATTTCAATCTGATTWAAAAAATTTGTGCATGTAAACATAGCTGGGATAATCTTACTTATTAAAGCTCATAATCTTACCACTTGAAAAATCACTAGCCCTGAAGCTGCTGGTAGACATCGCGGTTGGAATTATCAAAGGTTTTTGACACCTGAGGGACACCGTAGC